GGAGAACTTTGGACAGGAAGGCCAGGATTGGAGGGGTGGCTGAGGGGGAAGGGAGTTTTGACAGGACCCAGAGATGTTGGGGTCAGAGTAGGGGCAGGTACAGTGGAGACAAGGCTGAAGACCCACCAGGTGTCTGAGGCGGCAAGGTTGGCCTCACTGGGGCAGGGTTGTCACTGCTGGGGAGCAAAGACCTGAGGATCTGTGGAGAAAACAGGCTAGGTACCAGGTGGATGTTACTGAAGGAGGAGGCATTAATCTATGGGCAGAACCCCATGAGCCCGAGGAAGCAAGATGGGCCCCCGAATAGAAAAAATGGAAGCAAGCCCGAGGGGGGGTCCTGAACATCCAGGTCAGGAAGGGGCCATTCCTGACTGTTCGGGGGCCAAGGCACTTCTTCACTCTGGCACTCGGTTCCCCATAAAGTGACAGACAGAGTGCCGGATGGCTAATAGCTCTTCTGGAGTTCTGGATTCTGTGAGGGAGCTTGTGCAGCTGAGCCAGGCTGTGAGCACCAGTCCTGGCCAGGGGTTCTGCGGACTGCCCGGTGAAGAGGCCTACGCTCCTGGTGCCTCTGTCCTGCCTTGAGAACAGCAGCTGGAAGGCGGGGGCTCCCCCCCTCAAAGGAGGGAAGTTGCTGAAACAGGGCAGGGAGAGGAGGCTAAGGCTCGGCAGGAGTGAGCGTGGGGCAGGGTGCGTGTGCTTGGCCGCTCTGCCACACAGTGCGGCCTCCCTGTGCCATGCAGATCATCAGCGAGGAGCGCTTCCGGCAGCTGGAGAAGATCAAGACGATCGGGAGCACCTACATGGCGGCCTCAGGACTGAACGCCAGCACCTACGATCAGGCCGGCCGCTCCCACATCACTGCCCTGGCAGACTATGCCATGCGGCTCATGGAGCAGATGAAACACATCAATGAGCACTCCTTCAACAATTTCCAGATGAAGATTGGTGAGATGACGTGGTTCCCTGGCAGTTCGTCCCAGGGCTGTGTCTGGGGGAGGCCGAGGAAGCGGGCCAGGGACGCATGGCATCTTGGATGCCCCGTCAGGAATCCTCTGGGATGTCCTTTTCTCCTACCTCCTGTCTCACGTTTAGAATGGAGATCGTTTGTTAAGGGCCTACTGTGTGGTAGGTACTGTCCTAGACATTTTAATCTTCATGTTATCATCCCCTTTGACAGACAGAGACTGACACTCAGATTAAATAACTTGGCCAAGGTCAAACAGCTGGGAGGGGACTACCCTGAGATTCAAAACCAGGTTTATTTAAGCTCGAGTACCTGTGCCCTTCCCTATGGCCAGTCTGATAAGAGGCACTTCCTCTCGCCTGAGCTGGGAGCTGGTGGGCGGGAGGAGCGGCTACCACCATCACTCTGGTTTGAATTCTGGCTGTTCCACTTACTGGGTTATTTAGCACGTTGTGTCCTAAGGCTGGCTGTAAAATGGGGATGATACGTACCATTGAGGGCTGTTGAGGGGATGAAATACTGGCATGCAAAATGCTTCCCAGAGGGGTTGGCGCAGAGCGAACATTCAGTGGATTTAGCTACTGTTAACAGCAATAACTGTCTCAACTCGGGGGAGCTCTTAGGACATGCCCAGATCTGCCATTCTTTACAACCGGAACACTTGTCGCTTTGTCACTTTTTTCTTTCAGTCCTTCTAAAAGTTCCAGAAGGTGGGAGCATTCCCCGGGCTGACCCTGGAATGTCCATTAGTCTCAGTTTTTTGCTGCTGTTCCCATCACAGGGCTGAACATGGGCCCAGTTGTGGCAGGCGTCATTGGGGCTCGGAAGCCGCAGTATGACATCTGGGGGAACACAGTGAATGTCTCTAGCCGTATGGACAGCACGGGTGTCCCTGACCGAATCCAGGTGAGGGGGATGTGAGCAGCGGCTAGGAAGGGTATGGGTCCAGAGGGCTTCTACAGGTCCCTCTCTAAGTTCAGCGAGGACAGGGGTAGGGTGGTAGTGTTCTGTGGTTGGGGGTGGGGCTTGGGGGTACTAGCATGATCAGAGAACCCCTGGACCCCTGCAAATGTAGCAGGAAGGATCCCAGGCTAAATGGGTTCCCTTCCCATTCCCCAGGTGACCACGGACTTGTACCAGGTTCTAGCTGCCAAAGGCTACCAGCTGGAGTGTCGAGGGGTGGTCAAGGTGAAGGGCAAGGGGGAGATGACCACCTACTTCCTCAATGGGGGCCCCCCCAGTTAGCAGGGTCCAGCTACCGATTCAGCTGTCAGGACCAAGATGGGCATCTGAGTGGACTCTGTGCTCACTGGGAGGAGCTGTGGCAGGGGGCACCGGGCCTCCAGACCCTGCTGACCACGAAAGGGAACACCCCAGCAGGCTGTGCTTAGACCACACTCCCTCGTCTGCCCTCAGGCTGGTGAACAAGGATACCAAGAGGATTATGCAAGTGACTTTACTTTTCTAATTGGGATAGGACTGTTGCCTCTTTCTTCCTTTCTTGGGAGCAGGGGAGGCAGCAGCTACAGAGGCAGCAGGAGCCCTCCTGCCTGAGGGATTAAAATGGCAGCTTGCCATGCCTGTCCTTCCCCTGTCTGTCTGGGCAACAGACTCAGGGCTGGGCCCTTCTTTTCCCTCTTTTTCCTGGGAATATTTTGTACAAAGACTGGGGCAGGCATGAGGAGTGCCTATTCCATGCTTGCCTCTGCTATGCCTGCATCCCCAGCACTGGCCTTGGGTACACCACCCCAGTAAGGTCTCCCTCCTAGACACAGGGCGGAGGAGGGAGATGCTCTGGGGACCCAGCTCTGTCCGTATTTCAGGGGAATGTCTCCATTTGCCAAATCCTAGTCCCATGATCTGTCCCCAAAGGGGAACAAAGGGACTTTTGACAGCTCAGATTTAGCCCCGGTTCCTGCACAGCTCCAGGGACAGGGGCATCTGGCCTCATTGGTACTGTGAAAATGCCCAGCCAGAGAGCAAGCATATGTGTGGGGATTCAGAAGATCAGGAGTTGAAAGTTCACCTGCAGGTGCCAAAGAGAGCAGGCCAGCCAGGGAGTGGGGTGGTACCAGACTCTTGATCTCAGGGCCCCCCTGGGGCCATGATCAGGTACCTCTGCCCCCGTGCTCTCTTGCAGTCTGATGGCAAGGGGGCACAGAGCATCTCTACCCATTCTGTTGCCAAATAGAAAAGGGTCAGGGCATGGAGGAGGATGACCCTGATCGCAAACCTGTCCTCCCAAGTCTCTGGCCCTGGGGAGGGCCTGTGTGTCTGTGTAATGTGTGTGCATGTCGGCCTTTGTGTGTGTATCTGTTTCCAAGGTCTGTGTGTGTCCTTGTGCTCCTCCTCAGCTCTCCACCTGGGGTTGCTTCTCTACTGTGGGCCTCTGTCTTCTGGGAATAAGGCAGGGTTTCTGATTTCAAGGGACGAAGAGAGATGCCTAGGTTGCACAGGAGTGGCATGGGGTGTGGTAGCAAGAGGAAGGTGCCCCTGGGGAGAGCAGTCCTTTTTGTGCCAAATCCCTAAGTGCCATTTGGGGGCCGCATGTGCAGCACGACTGTCTCCCTGCCTCATGCACTTGAACTGTCTGAGGTTTGGTGGGCAGAGGCTCAGGAATTTCCTGGGTTCCCCAGCTGGTGGCATACTTTGGGACTGAGGTAGCATGGGGTCTCTCTGAGGACCCAGATACTGGTACTAGGGGGTGGGGCAAGGGAACCTGAAACTTGGCGTTCCACAGCCTTCCATCTCAGTCTAGCATGTTCCTGGCTTCCCAGTCCCCATGAAGACTGTAAGGGCTAGGAGGAGGATTGGAAGGTCGGACTCTAGATTCCCTTCCTATATCTGCCTTCCTTTTACTCCCTTCCCTGCAACTTCCTTGCCTCAGGCCTGAATTAGTTGGTGCCTTGGTTTCTCTGTCTGTACCAATTTAAGCCAGAGCCATTAGCCTGCATTTGAAGATAATTTTGTCTGGGAGGTGGTGAGAGAGACAGAGGAGAGAGGGTCCCAGAGTTACTGGGTTTGGGGAATGGAAGGGGTAGGGAGTACTTTTGCCCTTCCTCATGCCCTTTCAGACTCCCGCTCCTTGCAGAGACCTGGTTTTGGGTCATACTGCCTCCCTGCCGGATCTTCATGCATCTACCAAATGGGCCATCAGGCACTTCATTAGCCATGGCAGGAGGACGGTGCAAGACTAGTTGGTCTGGACAGAAAATCAACTTCCTTTCCCTAGCCATATCCCTGGATAGGAAGGGAATGCTTGGAGCCCTGGGGTGGGGTGAGGATGTAAGGAGACCAGAGTGGGAAGACCTCAGTCTTTGGTGACTTGTCTTTGCTTCTTGCCAAGTGGGAGGGGCCTGTCCACACCCTGACTCCCCATACCACAGTGCCAGCCATGCCCTTCTCCTGGGCTACCATCGCCCCCTTTCTCACCAGATGTTGGGGAAGTCAGTGGATGGGAGGCCCATGGACTTTGGTTTTATAATGTAACCACTGTGGGGGAGGGGGAGGGTGGTGTATCATGTATTTCCGTGAAATATTTAATATATTTAAATATCAATAAAATCAAATTCTTTGTAAAATTCTTAGCTCTCTGAAGATGTTCTGGGCCCTGGGTTGGGTCAGAAGTGGCAGAGCTGGGTACAGGAGGCAGCCTCCTGCCGGAGGGCTCTGTGGGCCTTTTCCCTCAGTGGATAGAGGGCTTCTTCTGGTTTTCTCGCTGCCAAGATGAAGTTGCAGTCTTCAGAGAGCATGACTACTCTAGGCCCTTCAGCATCATGACCACCAGTGTGTGTCTTCCCAGACTTGTTATTCTGACACCTGCCATTCGTGAGGTCAAGACCCCCTTGGTGGTCTTTTCTGTATCCTGGCTCCTCCCAAACACCAGCTTTGGGCCCGCATACATCTGATCTCACAGGAATTTGGGCATGAGAATGACTTCCCTCTGCCTCACTCCCAGGGCACACAAGTGACTTCTAGTCCAGTTTGTTTACTCTGCTTTTGCGATCCCCTCCTCCCATTAGTCAGTCAGCGGAACCAGGACATCTTCTCCCACTTTCTCTTTCTTTGCTCTGCTTCCACAGTTCATCTTACCCTTCTGTAAACACATCCTGCTCAATATAGACTGAAGTTTCTGTCACTAAGAACAGAGTGATCCATGAACCTGGAAAAGAGAGAAAGGGTCTCAGATCTGGCCAGGTCAGGCTGGTCTATGTGGTGGTGTCCTTAAACATCTGCCCAAGACTGCCTCAGGGCAGAAAGGGCGGGGCAGTGATAAGGAAGTATGGCTACTGTCAATGACTGGTGGTTGGAGGGTGGGAGGCAGCCATGAAGGGAGCAGAGGCATCCCCGGACTTCCCTAGGAAAGCTATTGACACTTATCTTGTGCTTGCCCCAAAAGGCACAGCCACAAGGTGAAACACAAAGATACAAACAGATCTTTAACTCCTTTGAACGCTGGATTCTGGGGCCAGCTATCCCTGGTAAGACCCAAACTTTGTCTTCTATTCCCTGAGAAGAGCTGAGACAGTCTCTAAGAATTTCAGTGAAGGGAGGGAGGACTTCCCTTAGTCTCCTCACCCTCACCCATCCCAGCCTAACCTGGTCATTGGGCTTTTGATGAGGCAGTGGCGGGGGCTTCGGATCCACGGCATGGTTTCCTCCGGGCACACGCCTGCATCATGGGACCGCCAGAAGCTGAAGTTCTGAGCATCAGTCAAGGGGACTCTGAAGACCTGACTGGGGACTAAATGGTTGGGGAAGGACAGGTTATCCAGTATCTTCAAGTTCTTTCTCCCCTTAGTGCCTCACGGCAGCACAAGCCCAACCAAGCAACTGGGCTTGATCAGGTGCTGAGAAGTCCTGGGACTCTGGCCACCACACCCAGCTTCACTTCCGGATTCCAGCATCTCACACCCTTTGTGGTCAGTTGAATCAATCTTGGTTCTTCCTGCTTCTACTAAGCCTATCTCCAAGAGAGCTTCCCCAAGTGCTAGTAAGATGGTAGAAAAACAGGTGGTCAGCTCACTTGGGAAATGTGCAAGATGGGTCTACTCTACTGGCTTCCCCTACTCCCTACCCCCAGACTTATTCATCCTCTTTCCCTTCCCCCTTCTCTGAAAAAATACCTTCCTTTGCTCATTCTGGTAATTCTCTGAAACTAAGCAATGATACCACCTCATCTGTAGATACTGCTAGTAGATTCATTTATCCAGTGCCTATCATGTTCTAAATGTATTCGGTGTTCTTAAGATTTTAAAATAGTATCAGACTTACCTAGATTTTTGGTGTTTTTATTCTCGATGTGGATAAATCTAATTATACCATTGTATAAAATTTGTATATTCTTTAAACTTAGAATTATAGCCTAATATCCTGGCTATATAGTCTTTATAATCATCATTTTTAAAAAAATCTGTAATATACCATTGAGTAGGTGGCACATTTCTGACTTAGTTGTTTCCCTGTTGATTGATGATAAGCTCTTAAAAACAATTTGCTATTAGGAGTAACTCTTAGATACTCCACCCATATGTATTTTTAAATTTCTGAAAATATCTTAGTTTTTAAATTAAACCTTAATTTTGAGATAATTATGGATTCACACATAGTTGTGAGAAATGATATACATATCCGGTGTATGCCTTACCCAATTTCCCCCAGCAGAGAAAGGGAGTTGGTCCCCGCTTTTAAAGATTTTATTTATTTGACAGAGCACAAGTAGGGAGAGCAGCAGGCAGAGGGAGAAGGAGGAGCAGGCTTCCCATTGAGTGGGGAGCCCGATGCGGGGCTTGATCGCAGGACCCCGGGATAGGGACCTGAGTGGAAGGCAGACACTTAACCAACTGAGCCACCCAGGTGCCCCAGGAGTTGCCCTTTTATAGCCATGTCCTCCTAGCCCCTGTTTGGTATTCTTCATTTCTATAATTATGTCATTTTAAGAATGTTATATAAATTCTGGGGACGCCTGGATGGCTCAGTCATTAAGCATCTGCCTTTGGCTCAGGTCATGATCTCAGGATCCCGGGACCAAGCCTCACATTGGGCTCCCCGCTCAGCGGGAAGCCTGCTTCTCCCTCTCCCATTCCCCCTGCTTGTGTTCCCTCTCTCACTGTGTCTCTCTGTCAAATAAATAAATAAATAAATAATCTAAAAAAACCCCAACAATGTTATATAAATTCATACACACACACACACATATATGAATGGATGTATGTGATCTTTTGGGGATTGGCTTTCTCTGCATAGCATAACTTCCTGAAGATTCCTAGAAGTTGTTGCATACATCAGTAGTCCTAGATGCTTTTTTAAATGTACATTTTCTCTAACTTTCACAACAATGCTGGAGTGTGATTCTCATTTTCAGGTGGTTCAGAGAAGTTAAGTGGTTAAAGGGACTTGCCCAAGGTCACACTATTTGGAGTTTAAACTCAGTTCAAATTCCAAAGCCAGTGCTTGGTCTACCACTCCTCACAGGCATAGCACATAATGTACAAAGTACTGTCCTAAACTATCTCATTTTGTTGGGATCCTCACAACAATTCTTTAAGATTGGTAGAGGGGGCATTTTTTCTTTTTCTTAATGAATGAGAAAGCAGATTAACAGAAGGTATGTGGCTACCCAAAGTAAGACACTTAACAGAGGCAGAACTAGGGACTCCAATACGGAGCTTCTGCTTCCAAATCTGATTCAATTTTTCTTTTATCTTCCTCACTCCACCATTGAAGTCTACTTTCACCCTCCTTTTCTCAGTCTCCCTTCTGGGCTGTTTCCCCCCCTCCCCTATAACCATGCCCCATCACAGCCCAGTTGTTCTTTACAAACTCAGGCATATCTGTTCTGCCCCTAGCATGGTACCCACTCCAAGATATTTTCATGTCTTTAATTTTTTAAGAGTTTATTTGAGAGTGTGCGCGTGCATGCGTGAGAGAGAGAGAGAGAGAGATAGAGAAAGTGGGGGAGGGGCAGAGGCAGAACCAGGCTTTCCACCGAGCAGGGAGCCGGATCAGGGCTAGATCCCAGGAGTCTAATCCCAGGAGCCCCAGATCACGACCTGAGTCAAAGGCAGAAGTTTAACTGACGGAGCTGCCCAGGCTCAATACTTACATGCCTTTAACAACACCTTCTTTACAGCTTCATGGTACCTTGTGTGGCTATTCTGGTGCACAGAATAATTCCCATCTTCTGGGATAATAGGGGGAAGCCGAGTGGGCGCCAGTTCCTTCTGGTCTGAAACAAGAGCAGACTTGTTATAAGTAGTTAGCAAATGGGGCTATTTGATTCTCTGAGTCTCTAGTCTCCTTGCCAGCCAGGCACAAGGCAGGGATCTCTCCTAGCTACTCAAATCTGATCTTAGAATCTCAGATGTAAAATTACAATGCCTGTGTCAGGAAGGAGTGGGGGAGGGAGAACCCAGTGATCATGAGACCTCCCTCACCATTCCCTTGCTCCTCTCCGACTCCTGGGTTTTGAGTGGCCTCCTACCGGAATCAGGATATTAACAGATACTTAGGGTTAGTGCCGGTAAAAAAAGGTAATTTACCTGGATGGAAACTCATTCCCTGGAATTGGCATATTTGCAGAACTTTAATTGGTCTAATAGGGGAAGTTATGTTTTAGCTAAGTCTTGGAGGATAAGGAGTCGTCCATGGGACATAGTGGTATCAGGAAGAGCATTTCAGGCAGCAGGATAGCAAGTGTGTAGAAGATAGAAGCTGTAGAGAGGTTTCAGCTTGCTATTGAGTTGGAGCCTGACTAGTGGGAGGCAAAGTGGAGAGGGGGCTTGAAAAGTTTAGTACAGAGTAGGGTAAGTTAATCTAAGGTAGAGCGGGGCAGTGTAGACCTAGCATTCTTTTTTTTTTTTTTTTTTTTTTTTTAAGATTTTATTTATTTGAGAGAGAGAATGAATGCGGGGAGGGGCAGAGGGAAAGGAAGCAGCAGACTCCCCACTGTGCAGGGAGCCCAATGCAGGACTTGGTCTCCGGACCCGGAGATCATGACCCGAGCCAGAGGCAGACACTTAACTGACTGAGCCATCCAGATGCCCCTAGACCTACCATTCTTATGGGGATTTGGGTATCCCCGCCGGAGCAGAACTGGAATCTCACTATGGAGGCTGAAAAGACCAAGCTTCCTTACCCAGATTGGAATGTTTGTATCCTCCCTAAATTTGTATATTGAAAACCCAGTTCCCAAGGTGACAGTATTTGGAGGTAGGGCTTTTAGGGAGTGATTAGGTCACAGGGTAGAGCCCTTATGAATGAAATTAGTGCCCTTATAAAGGAGGTCTCAGAGAGCTCCGTCACCCCTCCCACCACATGAGGGCACAATGAGAAGTCTGCTACATGAAAGAGTGCGCTCACTGGACCACGCTGGCTCACCGATCTCAGACTCCCTGCCTCCAGAACTGCGAGAAATAAACCTTTGTTTACAAGCTACCCAGTCTATGGCATTCTGTGACAGCAGCCCAGATGGACTAAGACGCCAGGCTCCCTTGCATCTCCCTTGGCATGGTCAAAGACTTTTGGCTAGGCCAAACCCACCTGCTTCAGATTCTGAATCAAAGTGGAAGGTTGCAAAGAAGCAGGGGCTATATAGAGTCTTTTTCTACTAATGGGAAGTTGTAGCAGTGAGGCTGCATTTTATTTCTAGCAGCATATTCAGAGCCTGGGGTCCTTGGCAGCAACAGTGCCTGCCACAGTACCGAACACAGCAGTGTCTACGCCCAACCAGGTCTGCAGCAGGATTCTGGTTACTGTCCACCAAACTTGCTTCTCTGTTCCTTTTACAGCTTTTATGTACTTCCCAATATTCTTTAAAAAAAAAAAACTAATTTAAGATTGACATACAAGTAGTTGTATTTAATACGTATAGGTTAATGAATTTGGAGTTAAGTATATACCTGTGAAACCATCACCACAATCTAGGTCATAAACATCTGTCCCCTCCAAAAATTTCCTCCCACCATCTTTATTATTATTATTAATTTTGTGATAAGGACATTTAACAGAAGATCTGTGCTCTTAGGAATTTTTAAGTATATAATGCAGTATTAACTATAGGTTCTCTAACGTACAGCAGATCTCTAGGATTAATTGATCTTATGTAACTGAGACTTTGTACCCTTTGACTACTGCCCCTCCATGTCTTTCTCCCCATGAACATCTGGCAGCCACCATTCTATTCTCTGCTTCTACAAGTGTGATTACTTTAGATTCTTCATATAAAAGGTGACCTAGTATTTGTCTGTCTTTGTCTTCCTTATTTCACCTAGCATGTCTTCCAGGTTCACCATGTTGATGCAAATGGCAGGACTTCCTTCTTAATTTTAAGGCTGAATAATGTTCCATGGTGTGTGTGTGTGTGTGTGTGTGTGTGTGTGTACCCCATTTCTTTATCCATGTGTGCATGGATGGACATTATGTTGCTTCCATGTATTAGCTACTGTGAATAATGCTGCAATGAACATGGAAGTGCAGAGATCTCTTTGAGATCGTAATTTCAATTCCTTTGGATACATATCCAGAAATAGGATTTACTTTTACTTTTTTGAGGAACCTCCATACTGTTTTCCATAGTGGCTGCACCAGTGTATGTTCCCATCAATAGAGTACAAAGGTTCCCCATTTTCTCCACATCCTCACCAACATGTTATCTTTTTTTTTTTTTTAAACAATAGCCACTTTTACAGGTGTGAGGTGGTATCTCACTGTGGTTCTAATTTCCCTGAAGGTTAGTGATGTTGAGTATCTTTTAATATGTCTGTTGGCAATACATGTGTCTTCTTTGAAGAAACATCTACTCAGATCTTATGCCAATTTTTAATCAGTTTTTTGAGTTAGAGGAGTTTCTCATGTATTTTGGATATTAGTCCTTTATCAAATATATGGTTTGCAACTCTTTTCTCCCATTTGGTAGGGGGCCTTTTCATTTTGTTTCCTTTGCCTCACAGAGTCGTTTACTTTGATGTTATCCCACCGATATTCTTTCAATAAATTCATGTTCTGCTTCAGCAGGCTAGATTTGACTTGCATCTCAGAATCCTGAGCTTGTCAGGAATTGGGCCAAAGTTTGCTATTCTCTGGAAATTGTTTCGATCACAGACTCACCTCTGGTGAACAGGGATGCCGCTCTTCTAGAGTATTTCCCCAGCTCCTTTTCCCTTCATTCTGGCTTGACCCCACCTATTCTTTTCTGTCCCTCCTTCCCCACTTTTGCACCCCATTCTTTGAGAATGATCCTGCCAGAGTGGAGCACTGTTTGAAACCCCTCCTTTGACAGCTGAAGATTTGGACAGGTGCCAGAATATAGAGTTCTGGAAGCCTGAACTGAATCCGGGGGCTGATCTGTACTTCATCACAGGTTACAGCAATGAGGGGCCAGTTCCCAGAAGCAGTGTCATTTGACTTTGGGTAAGGTGGGGGGTGCCAGAATGTGTGTGGCCAAGTAGATATGTTCTGAGGAGAAAGAGTAAGAGCATACTCCTTGTGGGCAATGGGACCTTGACTGCGAGTAATTACTGGTCTGGGTGCAGGTAATTGTACGAGCTCTTTATCTGGTCCTGAGGCCTCAGACTGTGAGGGTACAGCTGAGTGATATTCTCTATTATCTCAGTTTCTAAGTGGTAGGCTCTCAGCTTTCCATATAAATGGTTACTGTGTACTTGGAGGTATGCTGGGCAGTATCACCCATTTGGATGCCTTCCTCCTGTATCAAGCACCAGTTGGCACACTCTTTGGGTTGATTTTTGGCAAGCTAGAAGATATTTTTGGTAACCCATAGTTTCTCCCAGCTGCCAAGTTTTGGAAGCCACTTGGGGTGAAGGGTGGTGAGCTGTAGGGAAGAATCATGCCACAGCTACTGTGAGTGAGCATGTTCTGGGTAGGGGGAGGCAATGAGTTCTTGATAAGCAAACTACATTGTGGCAAGGTAGATGAACTCATCATTTTGTGGGTAGATAGTGTAAGAGAGGTTCTCCATCCACCCAGTCAGTACCATGCTCCACATAGTTTTCAGTGATAAGTAGATACTAAGGGCCCTGACAGTTTGTTCTAGAACTGGGCCATAAATTGGGAGTTGCCATAAGACCACATCTACTACTTTGGATGTACTATGAAGGACATTGGGGTGGTGCAGAAGTACTTGGGTGGATCTTCCACTCAGATTAACGTCACAGATTTGTCAATACTACAGGCTTCCTAGGACCACTGGGGCAGTTGCAAAATCATCCTTATCCACTAATGGGCCTCTTGTCTCTGGTTAGTTGTAAGTGGGACTAACAGGCCTCGATGTTTTCAGGTTGAATTTTTGGAATGGGTCTACCTCAATGGCTCCCAGAATTCTGACTTCTATGTTAGAATACTTGCCTGGCTGTTTCAAATGCCTAGTAAGTAATGGTGATAATATCTAACACACATTACTTGCAAGGTGGTGTGGCTGCAAGCAGATTATTACCACCCTAACTAGAAATTCACACAAGATCAGTTTGAGAGAAAATGCAGGATTGTACATAATGACTCCTATCTAGGATTTCCTATTAGATACTGGGCATCAATCCCTTGAAGTTGGCTGGAGCAATAACATAGAGTGAAATTTGCTGAAATGTGTTTGGAAGCCTATCTTGCATTTATTGTCTTTCCAGACACAAGGAAATTGTCAGTGCATTGGGAGGAAATGGACATGAGCACGAGCCCAGGGAACTAGGGCACATTTTATTTTATTTATATTATTTACTTTTTTATTATTATTTTTAAAGATTTTATTTATTTATTTGACAGATGGAGATCACAAGTAGGCAGAGAGAGAGGAGGAAGCAGACTCCCCGCTGAGCAGAGAGCCCGATGTGGGGCTTGATCCCAGGACACTGGGATCATGACCTGAGCTGAAAGCAGAGGCTTTAACCCACTGAGCCACCCAGGTGCCCCTAGGGCACATTTTATATATGGGGGCAGTTCCTTTACCTCCACGTCCAAAAATACCTTCCTCAAAGTGGTGTACTTTTTCGGGATTCTGAACACAGGAAGTAGATGGGGCATGGGATAACAGAATTTAGTGTTGGCTGCAGACTGTTGATGTACAAGGGGCTACCTGGATCTTCTAGAGACGGTAATGATAAACCAAGCTAACACTTAGTGAATGCATTCAGCACAGTTATAAAAGGTAGGTACTAGGGGCACCTGGGTGGCTCAGTGGGTTAAAGCCTCTGCCTTCTGCTCAGGTCATGATCCCAG